TTGAGAATGATGAAGGCAATGAATATACAAATGTGCTTTACACAATTGATGTATGTATGGATTGTGATAAGAGTTGTATGAGCCCCTAATAAAACGATTTAAAAACAAGAGAGAGAAAGAAAAGAAATGCAACCAGTGATTGGCTTCCACAGAAGTTACAGTGAGTACTGGTGTCTACAGTGAGGCCAGCAGAGGGAGCCTCTAATCCACTTCTGGTTTAGGGCAACGTGAACCTACTTGGTTGGCATGGTGGTTAATGCATGAGGTTGCTAAATCACAAGGTCAGCAGTTTGAAATCAGCAGTCCCTTTGCAGGAGAAATTCTACTCCCGCCAAGAAGCAGTCATGGAAATCCACAGAGGCAGATCTACCCTGTCTACAGTTAGTGAAGAAACAAGTAGCACATACGATAAAATGTGATCAGCTAATGGTTACCTCTGGATGGGAGGCAGGGAGACAGGCTAACAGGCAGTATACAGGTAGTTTTGGGGGGTACTGGCAATGTTATAGTCCCTATTTTCCTGGAATTTTTCTCATAGTGAGTCAATACTGTCTTCTATCACAGTCACTTCCTGTGTATAGATTTTGAGCTTCCTAAATCAGGACTGGTTGGTACACATCTACATAGCTCCAACAGCAGGCAGCAGAGAGCCTTCTTAAAGCAAGTGCTCACATATTTTCTGAATTAAATTCCTACATCTGGGATAACAGCTCATTTAATCAAACACAAACTATGTTTGAAGGGCTAACAAGAAAATCCTATTCAATTACATTCTTCCTTTACTCAGTATATTAGGTTGGAATAAGGGGGTTATTTATCAAGTCATACCATGCTTGATTTTCTAAGTATTGAAAAATAAAAAGTATACTGTAACCATATTTTGAAATGTTCTTAATTCATTCAGTATCTATTACATATTTACTGTGGATAGTATAATCTAAAATATCCTAACTCATTAAGGTGACGGCAAAATAAAGTAAAATCAACCTAGTAGTTTAAAAGAATGACTGAGATTCGAGTCATTATGTAATCATTTTCAAGTCATACTGGTAAGTAAAAGGACAAGGTAGAAAATGATAAATGTCATGTATGCGCTTGCAAACACATGGAGTAGTTCTGGGAGGCTACACAAACTAGTAGCTCTGACTACTTTTATGAATAGATATCTAGCATAGAGGAGAGAATTACTTTTCACTATATATCTTTTGGTACTATATAAGTTTTGAAATGCACACGGATTCATTTTTCAACTAAAAGCCAGCTAATAATTTACACTTTTACTAAGGAAAAGTTATGCAAACATAAGCAAATTTTGTAAGAACAAAGCAATGCAAAAAAAAAAGAAATGTCATTAGACAGTATGCAGTTAATTACCACCAAAAGAGCACTGCTTTTACCTTAAAGGAAGCACTCGAGTAGAGCGATGTGGTGAGAGAAAGTTCCATAATGTATGGGGGACTTGACTTAGACCTTAAAGAATGAGATTCAGAAATGCTGGGAGGAGGGGATTCTAAGAAGTAGGTGGACCCAGTGGTCAAAGGGCTCTGAGGCTGAAGAAAGCTGTGGGATGAGGTGAAGTGGCACAAGCCCTGAGTTCTAGGGCTTTGTGACCCTAAAAGATGGAGACTCCTAAGCAGATTATTCTTACCTTCCCTGCATCCACTGCTGGCTCCCTAGAACAAAAAGTTCCCTAGGATAGTCCCCTGGGCATCTTTCAATTCTAGAAACACACAGCCACCTCTAATACCTACAGGAGCAAAGGAAGATTAGGGCTATATTTGGAGGCTCCTTTGGTGCCAACAAAAGGAATTTCTTGATTTTACCAGAGGAAATCAGTGAAAGTTTTGAAAAGTGAGTATGTTTTAGGAAGACCGAGTTGATAAATGAAAGCAACTAGTAAACTTTGGCAAATATTACAAGTCTGGCGCCTTTAACAGGGCGGGCTAGAGAGGAAAGAGGTAGCTAACTGGGAGAGCTACAGAAAGCCAGGCAACCAAGAGATCAACATGGGTCAGAACGTGGCTGGCGGTAGTGAATAAAATGTAGGATCTTGAATTTCCTTGATGTCCTAGACATTCCTTCTTCCAATAAATCTGCTACAACTTCTTGTTTCCTGCCACTTTCGAGGGTCCTATTGATTAGCATTTAGTGACAAGGAGTCAAATTTGAGGCTTGAAAAGTATTTCTCCTCAGTCACAGGATCAGGTTTTGTGTTTATTCTATAGCCTGACTCTTTCTGGCACTAATCTTTCAATATGGTCAGTGTAGATTTGCACAGGTTTAATGTTTTATTAACGTAATAGTCTTAATAAATATACAAATGCTACATATTCATAATGGCAAAGTTAGGAAACACAACAAGGTGCCAGTTTTGAAAAGCAACCTACCCAATCTGAAACTTACGGAGAAGCAAGCACAGGAGAGTGACATTGGAAGAAGTCCATTTGTAAGACATGGCCTGCCAAGAGTTACATGGTGTTCATGCCTGCTTTAACATATGAACCCAGCCTTCTTCCTAAAACATTCATTTTGAAAACTTTTGCTGGCATCCTCTGATAAAACCAGTAAGTTCCTTTTGTTGGCACCGAGGGAGTCTCCAAATACAGCCCTAATCTCCCTTCGCTCCGGTAGTAAGAAAGCACCTAACGTGGAACAGAAGCTAACGAAGGACCACCACTCTGGCTCCCGGGATTCCAAAGGCCACGATTACTGGTGACTTAGGTTCTCAAGATAATAGAAATCTGTTTCTCACCTTTGTCTTCTCCTTGCTCACCAATAACCCACACTTCTTCTTTGCCCGAAGTCGGTGCTTTCAAAACGTTGGTCACAATGTATTGTAATCTCTGTGACTCCAGATTACATCCAGTTCCAATCACTCGCTTTTCAGGAAATGCGCTCAGCTTCCATGTCACATAGGTCATGATTTCCACTAAGCAGTTGCATGCAAGTTGAAAAAAAGATTATTTTTCATATACTTCTACCCTAAGCTCACAAGCAAAATATTTATAATTAGTTGTTGTTTTTCAATCATTTTGGGGGGACTCATACAGCTCTTATCACAATCCATACATCCATCGTGTCAAGCACATTTGTACATATGTTGCCATCATTTTCAAACATTTTCTTTGTACTTGAGCCCTTCTTATCAGCTCATTTTCCTCCTCCCCTCTGCCCTCCTCAAAATATTTTATCATGTTAATAAGTATAAATACTCTTCTTAAATGCAAGATATACTGTAAGGCAGAAATTTTTTTATATAGGTTAAAAGTACTCAGTAGGTTTCAGTATGATTTTTATATAATACTGTTTAAACATAAAATATTAGGACTAAGAAATAGGGAATTCCCTAAGAAAGTTGAAAACAAGGTATGGAAGGTTAGAGAACAGTAGTTTCACTCATCGACCAAATTCTTATTGTCAAATTCTTAGCAAGCTGAATTTCTATCTTTAAATGTAAATATGGCTATGTAATATATCCCTCTATATTGAGCAAAAATGTAATTAGTTTTTTCTTATATGCCAAAAGGAGGCCAGGAATTGAAGAGACCAGTGTCTCAGAATCAATTACTATAGAAAAATTAATACAATGCATCTCATTCTCTAAATATATACTGGGCACATACCAAAAGTTTGCTCACCAAATTAGATCCAGTACCACCTCTTTCAAAGTATTTCTGTTTTAAGTAGCATAGTTCCAAAGCAATTTTTAAGCTAAAAAATCGTTAAAATGCCCATTATCACACTCACTAAATGTTATATTTCAGAGTCAGCAAAAGGTCTTTCATGTAAACCACTGCCTCTTTCTCCCGGGTGTTTTCACCATTTCCCACGAAGAAAAACATGGCTGACAACCTGGAATGTATCATGTTACAAAAAACATTTGAAGTATTTGGTTGCCAGCATGTAAAAATACCATTTTATTATAAGAGCAATTTAACTGGATACGCTCTAGCTATCCCTCTACAATCTATCATGAGTTCCATCAGTAGTGGCAATTCTACTGATGCGCTAGGCCAACACATTACCTTAAAATAAAGACTTACCTGGCTGAGATGCGACAAGCAGGACACTGTGTTGACTATAATGTCCCAGAGCTGGGACAAGGGCTCTGAACATATCCACGTTGCTCTGCACCACATCAAGGTAAGACTGAGAATTACCCAGAGAATTCACTGTGAGGATCACCACCTTGGAATGAGCAGAGGCAGACATATCTAATGAATAAAAAGAAATAGTCTGAGCTCAAGATGTAGGTTTAAAAAAAAAAGATGTAGGTTTTAGTTCATGACATAGGTCTTTTCTATAAGAACAGGACTTTTAGGCATATTTGTCCCCAGATTAATCTTCTCACCACAAGAAACAGGGAAGCGGCTGAGGTTTGCCTCCAGAAAGGGGGATAAAGAGCAAGGGTGCATTCAAAGGGGAGAGACAGCAATAAAGCTAACCAAATGACAGGATCTAGAATCCGCACACGAGGACTTCCTGCTTGTATGGCATTTGTAATTTTCTAAGGGAATATATCATGTTTTCAGGCAAATAGCACCTGAGTTAGAGTTGTTTGGTTTTTTTCAAACCGCACAACTCCCTCCTTAGTTTCTGTTTGTGTGAAGGCAGGGTGACATGCTGTGGACAGAATGAGCACCTGTCAACATAGAGACGATTTTCACACTGTGAGTGCAGTCCTGCAGCCTTTGAAATGACTCTGAGGTCATCAGGAGCAGTGGGCGAAGGGCACTGAATGCTGGGAGTCAGGGCTTTTGTACTTTACCCTCCCCAAGCACAGCAGCAATGTCTGTTCGGTCTTATTCATGAAGGATAAATACTTCAGAGGGAATAAGATGACTTGACAGTTATACTATTTTGGTTTGTTTGTAACCAAGTCTAAACACCGAAGCCTTGGTTTTAAGTTCTGCTTTCATAGGGACCTTCAAGTACTCAACTTGGACAACTTTTTAAAGAGCTGGTCTATAAAGTTCAAGTTCAGGAACAACTGTGAAGATGGCACAGGACCGGCCATTGGTTCATTGTGTTGTGTATAAAGTCACTGTGAGCTCGACCTGATTCAATGGCACCTCACAACAACCTGAGATGCAGTCCTGGGATCCTCAAGCTCACACACTGGGCTGTTTTATAACGACATTGCTTACAGCCCAGTGTGTCACAGCTACGCTCTGCGGCAAGTCCGTGGCTAATGGGGAGTGACCGTTGAACGGTATGCAGCTTTCTTTAGGGGAGATGTCACCATTCTGGGATTAGAGAGTAGCTATGGTTGTACGCCATCGTTACAGTGCTGTCAAGAATTGTACATTTTATATTATGGTATTTCACCGTAATACAGAGGAAAAAATACTATTAAGTGGAGGAAATTTGTGTTCTAGTAGACCCCATGTCTCTACTGCTTAAGCAACTATTCTCATTTCTTACTATCCTCCTAATTTAGCCTAATCATGTACAAGCATCACTGTGTGTGTGTGTGTAGTTGCATGCTTATGTGAACAGATGCCTATCCTCTCAAAAAAGTTATTTCTTTTTTCAAAAATGTTTTAATGAGTTATTTTGAAAAATCCAAATGGAGCAAGGTACATCTCTAAGATGACCAGTTGCAATAATTTATGCCTGTCATGCTAGGTCATTTATTAGTTTCCAAATGGGCTTTATTTCTCAGAATTATCAATAAACTTCTTCATGCCCTAAAAATCAAACACCAGACCTACTATTGGCAAGTCATTTTAGACTCAGAGCAAACCTACAGAACAGTACAGAACTGCTTACTTGTTTTACAAAGGTGTAAATATTTATGAAAAATGACCAATTTTTCTCCTGTGGAGCAGCTGGTGGGTTTGAACCATTGACTTACCAGCCCAATACTTAACCCACTGTACGATCAGTGCTCCTTCAGGCCATAAAATCCAAATCAAACCAAATTCCCTGCCAACAAGGCAACTTCGATCCATAGCAACATAACAGCCTTGAAGACCCTCATGCCAGAGTAGATAGTATGAGACATTAGTGAACATAGTATTTTTAATGACTTCATGTATAGCAGTCAAATGCTACCGGGAAGATACAATACCACAATTAACAATGGAGACACAAAGTCCTAAGACTTTGTACATTCAGTCAATAATCAAAGCCAATTACACAGTCGCTCCTAGGCACCAAGCAACATGTGCTAGCCGACTACTCTGGAGATTCTACTCTTATTCTCTCAGTTATGTGAAGAGTACTTATAGCTGGTTAATGAGCCACACAGGAAGAACCAATTTCCTCAGGTCCTGGATGGCCCCACAACCTCTAGGGTCCATGCACTAAAGAGTCTCCTAAAGTGATTTGGAAGAGGGAAGACATCCCTGGGGAATTTCAGTACCTGGAAATGATCGGCACAAGAGAATATCCAGCTCCCCAAGGTATCCTCGATCGGAGACTCACAGAAGAATCATTAGAGCAATATCATACTCTTTCCAGAAAAGAAAAACGACTGCATCGCAGTCTCAGGGATGCAAAAGCTTACTGCAACCATTACAACCGGTTTTTCTTTTCTTGTTAAAATATACATGCCAGGGGATTTCAGAAGTTCACACACAAAAAACTGAATTTTTTCCACACACTTTTTGAAGACCTTTGTATAATCTAAATTTTGCAATTTTAACCACTTTTAAGTGTACAAATCAGTGGATAACAATGTTATCCAATCATCACTACTATGTCTTTCCAAAACTTTATCACTCTAATGAGAAACTCAATACTCTTTAAGCAATATTTTCCCCTCCACCATTGCCCCTGGTAATAAACATTGGTTTCTAATTAATTTGACTATTCTGGATATTTGTGTAAGTGATATCAAACAATATTTGTCCTTTTGTATCTTTCTTACTTAATTCAGTATGTTTACAAGATTCCTCATCCACATCATAGTACGGATCAGAACTGCATTTATCTTTGTAACTAAATAATGTCCTAGTGTATGGACATACTACCTTTTGTTTATCCAGTCATCTATTGGTATGGACACCTAGGTGGTTTATACCTTTGGGCTGCTATAAATAATGATGCAAAGAGCATTGGTGTACAACTATCTGAATCCCTGCTTTCAAGCCTCTCTGCTTTCTGAAGTAGGAGCATTGCTGGGAGATATGAGAGCAGTTGAACTTTTAGAACTTTTAGAAGAAATGCCTGCTTCCCACCACCTTGAATGAGGGTTCCAATTTCTCCACAGCCTTTCCAGAACATCGTCACTGTTGCTTTTGTTTGATCTTGTTGTCGATATTAGCACTCTAGTAGGTATGAAGTGGTATCTATCTCATTGTAATTTTAATTTGCACTTCCCTAATTAGACTAATGATGTTGAACACATTCTCCTGTACTTAATAGACATTTATGTATCTTCTTTTGAGAAATGACAACCAATTTTCTTAGGTATAATTTCAGCTTTTTTGATCCACTGTTAATACATTTGAGCTTGTGAGACCACAAAATATCTCAATAATTTTTGAATTTTATGAGCCCCAATAAATTGATTTATAAAAAACATATATATATATCTCAATAATTTTATTCAAGAAACATAGAGGTAAAAGAAGGCCAAATAATTTTAACACAATCTGATCATAGCTATAACCTGGGAGAAAGGATTTGGGAAATACGCATTCTCTAATTGAAGGGCATATCAGAAGTTTTGACTATCCAACCCTGTGAGTAAAATATTTTAAAAGCCTGTACCCCTAAATATGGTCTCTGTGTGCATGTACACACGCATACACATATATGCTAAAATATTTATATAATTGTAAATTATATGCAAAGGTTTTAAAAATGAAAAGGATAGAAACAATATATATATATATATATATTTTTTTTTTAGAAACAATATTTTAATGATACAAAACCTTTTTGTTTTTCTGAGAATTTATTAGCAATATATTTTAAGTGAAAGCAATGCAACTTTTAAGAGATCTTTCTGGTAGACTTTATGTCAACTTGAATTTGTATCAAAGTGTAGGATGGAGCCAATATGTCACTCAGATCACAGACTGATGACACCTTCTGGGAAGTGTGGCCTCTTTAAAAGAGAACCACTGGGTGCTGGGACTTGTGCTTGCCTCCAGCACCTGCAGCTACATGAGTCTGAAGAGGGCTCTGACTCGCATCAGACCCATGGACTTACGTTGGACTGGGCTGCGATGCCTTCTAAATATGAACTTACTTCTTGCAATAGAGTTCTACCTCTTATATGAGTCTCACTGGTTCTGTTTCTGTAGACAACCCAGCCTAACACAACCTTGGTTTATCACTTTGCTATATACTCAGAGGTGTGCATTATTCCCATCTTATAGGTAAGAAATTGAAGTTTAAGAGACTCCAGAGCCTGAGAAATGCCACAGAACTAAAAAGTGGTAGAGCTAGGGCACAAACCTCTGTCCAACTCTAAAATCAAACCAAACCAACTCAAAACCAATCCGGTTGCCTTCAAGTCAATTCTAACTCACAGTAGCCTTATAGGACAGAGCAGAACTGGTCCCTATGGGCATCCGAGGCTATAAATATTTACAGGGAGTGGATAGCCTCATTGTTCTCCCATGGAGCAGCTGGTAGCTTTGAACTGCCAACCTTGAGGTTAGCAGCCCAACATGTAACCCACTGGGCCACCTGGACTACTTAATTGTAGAACTAGTGATTTTAACGAATACATTATAAGAAAGGAAACAATCAGAGAAAAAAAGTTCATATTAAAGTATGTATAAATCAGAGACAAACTCCTGACCAATTCAAATGTTATTGCAACATTTGATTCTTGTTAATATAATCAATTATAATCTCTGTATAACCCTGGCAAGTCACTTAACTTATTTAAGCCTGAGTTTCCCAATCTATAATAAGAGGGATATGGACAAGATGAACTTTAGGTGCTTTTAAGTGGTAAAATTGTCAGACTCAATCTTGTTAAGGTAGGAAGATTTGAGTTTTGGGTTGCGATGATGGAAAATATAGTAACAGGTATGGGTGATGGTTACACAACATGATTAATGTAGCTGATGTTACTAAATCACATACATACAATATTAAATTGGCAACTGTTGGGCTAGATAGCTTTTTAAAACAATTTTTTAAAAAATGTAGGACTCAAAATCAAGAGCAAACAAGATAAGCATCTTTCAAGTTTAGTAGACTAGCAGACCTTTGCTTATCTCCACATTAGGCAAGCTGAAGATGTCAAGGTCCATCATCCCTCCTTTAGTGCCTTCCGAGAAGTCTAAGAGGACCAGCTTGTCTGCGATGCCCTGTATAGCACAATAAGAAAAAGAACAGCATTACGTTGGATGTGGCCAGGTACTCAATAAAAGCTCATTGCGGGCTGAAAACATTTATGTGAGCCTTATGAGCTGTTGTCTTAAGAAGGAAATATATAAAAATAATAATAATAATAAAAATAAAAAAATAAAAAGAAGGAAATATAACAGATTAACAATAAAAGTGACAGGCAAGAAAAAAGTTAATATGAATATGAATGATGTAATTTGTGAGGCTTAAATACTGAAAACCAATCTGACAGGGAATAATTCAATCATCTATCGCAGGCTTCTTTTGATAATAAAGATGAGATATTTTCCATAATATGTTTACAATTCTTAAGTTTGTTTATTTTTAAGTCATATTTCCATTTTGAAAGAGCTTAGGGCAATATATATATATAAATAAATATATATGTATATATATATTTTTAGGGTGATAGTTTTAGGTCTACTTTAGTAGCTCATTTCTAGCATGAAAGCCAAACTAACATCAAGTTTCTCTTTAAAAAATAAAGGCACACCAATGCTAGCCCCAAATGGAAACCAACAAATGCTGGCAAGGAAATGGAGAGACTGGAACTCGTGCACACTGTTGGTGGACTTGCAAATACATACAGCCACCGTGGAAAACGATATAGCGATACTTGAAGCAACTGGAAATTGAAATCCCATGTGATCCAGCAATACCCAAAAGAAATGAGACACGAGTGGATAAATGCTCTCCCATGTTCCTAGCAGCACAGTGCTCAATAGCAAGAAACTAGAAGCAGCCCAAATGCCTAAGAGTAGAAGAATGGATAAACTTACAGTACATACACACAATGGAGTACCATGCATACCTAAAAAACCGATAAAAGCATGAAATACCTTACGACATGGGAGGACCTGGAAACCAATATGCTGAGTGAAGTAAGTCAATTACAAAAGGACAAGTATTGTATGAGTCTGTTATTATAAGGAGAAATGCCAATTAAACAAATCTTAGGGACCAATTCCTGAACAAAAAGGGAGAAGGCTACCTCTTGGCGATGAACCATACATCACCTCCCGTTTATGCCCCTCACAAGAGCCACCTTGAAGGAGGAGCCCTCACAGTGTCCGGGGTCACTCCTCCCAGAGGGGGTAAATGGGAGGAGACCATCCACTTGAGGCTATACAACAGTGAGACAAGGCTGGGGCAAATCAATGGGCCTCCACAGGAATGGAAGGAGAACCTTGCTGGAAAATCAGCCAAGACCAGGGCAGAGGAGCATCTACATTTTGGAGGAGACACTGATCGTTCTGTTGATGAGTATGGCGGGTGTTAGTGAGAAGTAACCTCACATTGGGAAAGGATGCTAAACAATGATTGTAGGGAACCTATGGGGGCAGCAATGGACCAGGTTTCCCGTCCCTGGGTAGACACTACAAATACACTTCTGCCCAACCCTCAATGAACCATGCCATCAACTAAACACCATAATGACCTTGGACCTGGTGGGCGGCATGGGAGGTCTTCATCTGTTGGGCAGGGAACTGAACTTGGAAGAACTGATCCAGGAAGTTTCCCCTGGCACCAATCCCCATGCATAGAGTAAACAGAGCTCAATTGAATGGGAGATTGAACTGTGTTGTGCCAACCTGGCTGATAAACACATGTGGGGTTAATTGAAGGGTGGAGAGAAAAATGGCTCGGGTGAGCCTCGCCTTTCTAGTTCTCAGGTCTCTTGCTTTGTGATGGTTGGACCTGGGTGCAGCTCCCTTAGCCAGTTCCCTACTTCAGCTGGCAAGGCTCACTTCCTGCAAGACATCCAAGAAGCCACATGGACCTACCCCGATGCAGCCCTGGGTGCTGGAGCACCCGTGTGGAGACCCCAGCCAGCACTGAGATGCTTACACGTTCACTGACTCGGCTTTCCTCCTGCAGTTGGCGTCATAGTGTGTGTTTTGTGAGATGGAGGAGGACTTTGTAAAAGATTGGTGTCAGACATATGGGTTAATGTTGGACTTGTGGGCTTGGGCAGCACTGGGTTGGGATGTTTTCTTGATGTGCACTTAACCTTTATATAAAACTCTCTCTTATACATGAGTTTCTGTGGATTTGTTTCTCTAATGTACCCAGACTAACACATGTGTGAATGGTTGAGGCTAACAGTGGAACTGTACTGGAATAGACACCTCATACTGACAGTGTTCAGGGTGCTGTGTCATTGGAAAAACTGATGTTACCAGTGCAATCACCTTATACACCAGGGGGATGACTGACAATGTTTTACTTTTCTGTTTCTATTTGGTTTTCTGCTTTTAGTTTGCTTGTTTTTGTTTGCTTATTTTTTGTTGTCTGTTGGGTGGTTTGTTTCTGTTGTTGTTGGGGTGGTTGGTCTTATGGAGTTTTTATTTTGACAAAAGAGATCTGCCAAGTAAACCTGAGTCATGCATATTCCAGGGACAAGCAGATAGATTCTGGGTCCCCCACTTAACTCTAGCCCCAATGCAAGAAAAACTAGTTCTGATAACAGGGCCCTGCTAGATACGCACCTTCATGAAATGATCACGGAAGACACGGGTACTGCAGCAAAGAGTGGTGAAGAAAGCAGATGGTGCCTGGCTATCAATCCGAACAGTGTCTGGGGTCTTAAAGGCTTGTATTCAAACAAGCAGCATTCTAAGTGAGTAGTCAACTAAGTCCACACGGAAGAAGGACATCCTCTTGTGTGATTCAAGATGGCAATAACAGAATTCAAAGATAAAACCGATCTGCAGAGTATCTAGTCAGATCAAGGCATTGGCAGATCCCCTCTGGCCGCAGGCAAGGGTCTTGAATAGTTTTATTATCAGATAGAGATCATTGTAACTGTGATTATACTGCACCAAACTTGATATGTAGCCAGTGGACCTCCCTCTTGACCCAACCTGAAATTGTTCTAGATGCAAGTATTTCTTGCTTGTTCCATGAAAAAAATTTCTTCCCTGAACTTTTAAATACTGATGGTGGTTTTTTCTTTCTTATACACTATTTGTATTTTTATCTTTGCATTATTATTATTTTACCCTTATCACTTAATTTTGTTTCTGTTGGCTTTTCCAGTTTGTGAAGCACAGAAGGAGTAGATGCAGAGAGATAATAACTAATGCAAGGGTTTATAGGGGAGATAGGGGTGGGGGTGGGAGATAGGAAGAGTGAAGGGTTTGGGGGAGCAAACAATGTAGATGGGAGGAGGAAGGGAGAACTGGAACTGATGGTGACTTCACAACTCATTTGAAAAGTGATTTTACCATGAAAAATAATGATTGGAGAATTCTTCTTAATATAATTGAACTATTGAGTTGTATGATATGTGGATTATGTGCCGATAAAACTATTAAAAAAAGAATTAAAACTTACTATTATGGTTTTTCAAAGATTTATACTCAGTAAAAATATTACCAAGTGGAAAAAAATAAATAAAGGCTAGATCTTTGCTGCATCTCCTGAGAAAATGAAGACAGTTCTCACCAACCAGACTGCTGACATTGAAGGAAATGCCAACGTCCCACTGAAGGGGCACAGCTATTGTGCAGGACCCCAGAGTAACCCTGCCCGAGGTCTTCCAGCACCTCGTGTAGAACTCAGTCTTCTTGCAAAGAAAGAAAGAGGTTCAAGTTGACGAACGGTGGGGAATAAAAGGCACAGGCTATAGTTTGCGACATCTGCAGTCATACACAGAAAACAATCAAGGGTGGCACTGTGGGCTCCTACTACACAATAAGGTGTGTAAGTTCACTTCTCCAGCAATAACATTCTTCAGGAGAAGGGACTAGCAAGCCCCCAAAAGTTTAATAACAGTAGTTTAGGGAAAGAAATGTTCCCATACACAGTGCACAGGAATGTAAACATGTATAATTGATATGAAGGATAATTTTATTATTTCTATTGAAAATTTAAAATATAGCATTTCCTTTACTCCATCCTTCATTCTCATGGGAACTACCCTATAAGTTTACTAGTACATGTGTAAAATGATAAAATATGTATAAGATACTCATTCAGACTTGGTTTCAAAGTGGTGAATCCATGTATGATATAATCTATCCTGTTTTTGTAAAACATGAACTTTCTGATTTAAAAAAAAGATACTCATTCAGGTATAGTATAGCAAATGACTAGCAGGAACTTACCCTAAATGTCCATCAATGATACTGATGATTAACAACAGGAGTATAAGTAAAAATAAAAGTTTTACTAAGACTATCAAAATATGAAGCTTTTGTTTTTCAACATATCCTCCATCTAGGTCTATATACTTCTGAAGGTGGTTTTTAATCTCTCCATCCTTTCCCCAGAAGGACAAACCAATCTGTCTTGGAAGAAATATGGCCAGAGTACTCACTCCACTGTGAGTGAGGCAAGGATGGCAAGACTGCATCTTACATACTTTGGACATATTGTCAGGAGACACTAGTCCTTGGAAAAGGGCATCATGCTGGGTAAAGTACAGGGGAATGCAAAAGAGGAAGGTCCTCGAATCAATGGAAATAGAGGAAAGAGCTGGGAGGCAAAGGGTATTTATAGAGCTCTAGATAAAGACATGTACATATACAAATATATGAGGATGGGGAAATAGATCTATGAGCCTATATTTATGGGTTT